AGCAAATAAATATATTGCATTTAGATCTGATAAATCTATTTGCAATAAAATATTTAGTGCAATTTTCAGGTTTGACAAATTCATGTTTCTTCACCAAATCAGTTTATGAATTTTGTTAGAATCAAATACTAAAAACAAATAAATCTGTGATTATTTAATATTTACTTTAATGATAATTTATATCTAGTTTGTAGATTATTTTTTAAAATTAGTAAATAATACTGTTCTATTACTTTTTTTAGCCAATTTGGCTTTGGCTTGTTAAATTTTTATTTTGTCAGAGATTTTTTATCATCTAAGATTTACATATATTTAAAAGTTTAATAAAAAAATTTTTCATACTAAGCATTTGGTTATTATCTTAATTTTAGAGGTATTTGATGATTAGACTACATATTTAAAAGAAGTTTCTTTGACTGCCACTTTACTATTACTGTTTATTTTATTTTCTTCTTTTTTTGCTCTTCAAACTCTAAATCAAAATACACTTAATATTTTTGTTGTACTATTTGATATACTATTTGATAAACACTATATCTTTTCTTTTTCTATAATAATAAGTTGGTTGATCTTTAGTAGAGGTGGCCACTATAAAAATATTATAAGATTATAATATATAAACATAGTATTTGAGCTAATTTAAGCAAATTTGAGATTAGTTAGAGTTAGAGTAAGGTTATAGTATAGTTTATAGTTAGCTTTAGGATTAGGGTTAGAGTTTTTTATATTATAATTTTATTATATTTCTATATTGGCCACCTATACTAAAGGAGATCCAATAAGTTTAACAAAGATTGAATAAGAAGCTGTTAGAAGATAAAAAAAAAATTACTAGCCTTGGCATTATTAATTCCAAATCAAGTATCTTTGATTCTATATATAATCATACAATTTGATTATTTTTTTTCTAAAGTTTGTGTTTTTTCTCTAATATAATAAATATATAATTCTGTAATTATGTTAAATAGTATATTTTAAGATATCAAATAAAGCAAAGTCTGAAAAATCTTGTTCTACCAAGCATTTTTATGCTACTATATATGGTAATAGCTATTAGTTTTTGCACTTCACAATACTCAGTTGCCAGTTTAAACATAGAGTATTCTAGTCATGTTTCAATAGCTACATATACATAGTACTACTCATCAGTTTTTGCACTTGGAAAAACTTTCTCAACACTCAGTTGTCAGATTAATTATTAAATGTATTGGTATCATCAAATTTATAAAATAAAAAAATTATACTTTCTTTTAGTAAGTTCTGCAATTCACAAGTTTTTTTATATGCAGAGTATATACTGTTATATATTTCTTTAAGACATCTCAGCTTGTCACCCAAGGCTGAATATAAGCAATTGTTGTTGATTCAAGTAACAGTCCCAATTATTTACATCTTCCCAAGTATTAAAATCACAGTTCCAGTAATCTAAATAGCCTAAATTTTAAATTTCCTTGTTCTCACTAAAAATAGAAAACTAATGCATAGCATTGTGTGTCCAAAGTTTGTTTTTGTTACATTAAAGTCAAATATAGTCATGCATCAAAAATGTAACTTTTGTTGTATGTGCAAAAGAACATCCTTTTCAAAATTATGTTTTTGATTTATTGTTATTTTACACCAACATAATACATCAAAATCGTACTTTTATTGCATTTTATTCGTCCATTAGGTGTTCCCTGCTGGGTTTACTAATTTCTCTCCATACTTCTTATTGGACGAATATAAATAATGTTTTCCACTAGATGAAACCAATCACATCACTAATCAGAGTGGCTAAAAATTTCACAATGATTACATATTGATTAAACTTTTTTTAATACTAACATTTTGCTCTTTTGAGTTTTTTTTTAAAAAATAGTCCTTTTCACTATTTAATACTAACGGTTTGCTCTTTTGAGTTTTAGCACTTCAAATTTTTTTAGTAAATAATTTCGTGTATGTGATTATATAAATTTTCGCCAATTTATATAAAATTTTTAATTGAAATAAATATACTTTAATCATACTGCTACGCAGGGTTGGCAATAGAGCCAATGGAGTTAAATGGTTACATGAATAGAGCTCAAAAAACTAGCAGAGATATTTATCGATTTTTAATAGCTGCCCTACCTCATGAGGTGCGTCAAGTGTAACTCAAATTTGCATGAGGAGAGCATCTTCCTGCATTGCGAATACAAAGTAAAATTTCCAATTATATAATATAGTTGAAAATTTACTTTGTATTTGCAACGCAGGAAGATGCTCCTCTCATGCAAATCCGGGTTACACTTGACGCACCTCATGAGATAGGGCAGCCGTTAAAAATCAATAAATATCTCTGCTCAAAAAACTAGTATCCATTGGCTCTATTCACAGCTCTATTGAGCTCCATTGTCAACCCTGCAAAAATCCAAAATTTAATTTTTTTTTGTTTGTTTTTGTAGTGTATGAAAATTTACTAATTATTTAGCAACTTAGCAGTAATATTTATTTTCAGTATTACTAATTAGCAAGCTAGCATCTATAACAGTATTGTACGTATCAGGGTTACTATACGATTTTCGAAAGCTATTTCCTGAAAGAATATTGTACTGGCTATTTTCTTTTGAGAAAATGGCTTTTGAAAACTTGAGTTATATTATTATTGTATTAGTATTAAAACAAATCTATTAATTAGTACTTGTCGTAGCATTTTATTTATCTGCAGTATTGTATCTGTATCAATAAAAATATACATGAAACATTTGAATGTTCGTGTCACTTAATTATTTTTTAACAAGGTAAAAATTGCGGCCAAGAATATAGTTAAGAAATTTTGAAAAAGCTTTGGTTGTATTTTAAAATTACAAGTCTGTAAACATAGGTCCCAGCAAAATTTTATTCTCTTGAGAATAAAATACCGAACAAAAATATTATGAAAATTACATATTTTCGGTAAGGCCATACAAACTTAATAATTTGATTTTCATAACATAAAATTTTAAAAGTGACTGGGCAACCCGGCTTTTAATTTTATTTTCAAAAAATTTTGTATATAAAATTTTTTATATAATTTTTAAAAAAACTCGCCCGATAGTAAATATACTAAAAATTTTTTACTGATTTATTAAATTTGTATAGCATAATGTTTTAGATTATTTAATTTGTTTTTGAAGAAAAACAATTTTGTGGCGTAATCAGAGTGTCCGCTATTTGTAGCATCTAAAATAGTGCTATTTCTAGCAAATTGCTACAAATAGCTAGCTATAATGTTTTTTTGCTAAGATGCGAAATTTGCTATCAATACAATAATTATATGACTTTTTCATTTGTCTGTAAACAATTGGTAACCTTTGAATGATAACCTTAGTACTGTACATGTCAGATTCATTTATGCTTTTTATAAATATAAGTTAAATGTTGTTATTTTTTTAAAAAAAACAATTATGAATTATATTAGAGTTCAAAAACTGAGAATGAGCCCAATTCACGTAGACAATTGCTAATTTGCTATTTTTGCTATTTTTGCTAGCTATTTCAATTCTTAATAGCTGGACACTGAGCGTGATCAAGTTTGTTCAATTAAAGACGGGGTTTCATGCATCCACCCTCTACTATTTTGCAGTTCTGTGTCACTAATTTTTTATTAAGCAGGACGGTTCATATGTTTTTGCCTGCGAAGCAGGCAAAAACATATGAACCGTCCTGCATATAAAACTTAGTGACACGGAAATGTCAAATAGTAGTGCGATGAAAAAAAAATTTAAAAGAGAAGGGTAAGAGGGACAGGGTAAGAGAGGGGCGAAGGAATAGTGGGAGAGTGGGTAGGGGAGTGGAAGTGGGATGTGGGGTGGGAGTGTAAGACGAAGAGAGAGGGAAGGGGGAAAGTGGAAAAATGAGGGAAGAAAAATCAAAGAGAGAAAAAAGAGCGAAGAAAAATGAAGCGAATAGAAAGGCGATTTAAACTCCGATGAAGTCACATGACTTTGAATTTTGTGTTCCTGCGAAATCGAAGGAGTTTCAAACTCCGCCGAAACGGAGTTTGAAACTCTGATCGAACGGCGAAGTCATGTGATTTACGAGAATTCGAATTCCCGCGAAAATGGTCGGTGACCCGAAATCGGGGTCACGTAACCACATACATGATACGTATCGTTATACGTATTTAAAAAAATTAATTATTAATTAATTAATTAATTAATTAAAAATAAATAGATAAAATCAGCGTAACGTTATGAATCGGCATAATGTAACATATCAGCATAACGTAGTGTTACAAGCCGTAAGGTTTTTATCAGCTAGCTAAGCTAGCTGATAAAAAAGTCGGCTTAGTGGCTGCTAATGGCTAAAGTAAGCAAAAAAAATTTTACTTTGGAAGATATCGGAAATTACTCTGATATTGATTCATTTTTCTTCGGAAACTTTTGGATCCTTGCTTTCTGTTATATAATTCTGCCTGATATTATTGTTCTGGCCTAAATTATTCTACCAGAATTATGTAACCTTAAGCCGCATTAGTCAGCTGATCATATTATATCGGCTGGCTTAGCCGGCTAAGCTGCTTTAGCCACGGCTGCCCTAGCTGGCTTGTAACACTAGCATAACGTACCGAAATTAGCGTAACGTACCGAAATTTGTGTAACCTATAGATACGTTTTGTATCAAACCTTCAGAAAAAATGTTTTTTAATCTTTTTTTTATTAAAAAAAAATAAAAAAACTCAATTTTTATTAAATTTTTTATACTAATTTTTTGTTAAATTAATAAATTAATAAATTATTATGTTATAGGTTTTAGAAACATAATAAATAAACTAAATAATAGTAAGTTTAATAGAAATTTTAATAAAATATTATAAATTAATATTAAATATACAAATTTATTAAAACATGTAAAATTTAAAAAGAAGGTAAAAAAATTTACAATTAAACTAAAAATTTTAAAAATTTATATGATTTATTTAATAAATGTTTTGTTTTATTTATAAATTATATAAATAATTAATAATTTTATTATAATTTTTTTTTTAACTGAGATAGAAAATGCCAAAAGAAAAGAAAGATAAAAAAGATAAAAAAGAAAAGAAAGAGACAAAACAAAGAGGACCTACTCCTGATTATATTTTAAGAGAATATGCAGCACCTGAAAATCCTGAAACTGAGCCTAAAAAAGATAGAGAAAATAGATTAAAAAATAAAAGAAATGCTAAATATAGATATTATCAAACATTAGAAGAAGGAAATTCAGGACCTTCAACAAGAACAAGATCTAGAACTTCTAAAGCTTCTAAAGCATTATCTGACACAAGATCAAAAACAAAAGAAGGTCAAAGAGATAGACAACAAGCATATAGAGCTTCTTTAAGTGAAGCACAAAAAGAAAAAGTAAAAGAAGGAAATAGAAAAAGAGATAAAAAAAGATATGAAATGAAAAAACAAGAACAATTTGAACAATTTTATAAAATAGGATATTGTAGTCTAGATGAATATCAGGAGGAGGTCGAAGATAATAGTGGGGATGATAATGGAGATGATGATAGGGATGATGATGAAGATGATAATGGAGATAATGATAGGGATGATGATGGGGATGATGGTGCGGATGATAGTGATAATGATAATGACGATGATAATGATGAGGATAATAAAAAGAACATTGGGGGACATAGTGTGGGGAAAATGAATATTGAATATGAACATTGTGGGACATTAAGATGGAAGGGGAAAAACCAGGACTTTGTTGCATGAATGGTGAAGTTGTATTAGCACCACTTCAAACACCACTATCAGAAATTAATTATTTTCTTACAGAAAAAGATCCAATATCTAAAGTACCATTTGTTGACCAAATAAGAGTATATAATCAAGCATTTGCTTTTACATCAATTGCTACTGATTTAGATTTGAGTGTTGCCAATGAAAAAAAGGGGCATATTGCTATAGAATTCAGGGTGATCATTATCATCAAATTAGCTCAGCTTTGCCAGAACAAGGGGAAATACCAAAATTTTCCCAAATATATTTTCATGATTCTTCAGATATTGAAGCACAAATTGATAGAAGACATGATGT